TTTTTTTTTCCATTCAGTAAAAAAAATCTGAAAACTGATATTTGACGGTTAGAAGAATTTATTTAGGCCAGAAAAATGTCTCACACATTTCTAATAAATCAATTATCAGGTGCTCTGACTGCCCTCTTGTCATTTCAGCAGCTGCCCTGATTATGTCACCTGAATTAAGTTTGTAAGGCATAATTAAAGCTAATTCTGCATTCCATCAACCCCTAAGCACCCATACATTAAGGCCTAATTAACAAGAGAACATGATTTGCAGAGACTCTGATGGCTTGGGTTCTTGAGGGTCACAGAGGATGAATCTGAACAACCAGATCATCTTACAGCTTCTGCTCAAAGTCCCACCAGTAATAAATGTGGATTTGCTGATTAACTTTTTAGAGAATATTACTTGAACAGGAGGAAAATTGCATTACGCTCTCAGAAATATACAACAGCAAGATTGTGTTTACTGTGTATAAAGCTAAAAAGCTTTGACGTCACTTCACTGATCAATTGCAAATGACGTTGTGCCTTTAAACGTGAATATGTCTGACCTAAACAATTCCAGTCCTGAGCAAAAGATTAAGCTTTTTAGTAGATCCATCTGCTGTGGTAGGATTTGTCAATGTTCCACTGAAACATTCACTGTTTTTCATAATACATAATCAATGTGTTTCAATATTAATGACAGACAGAGACAGACATCTGTAGTGCTGACCACAAATACCAAAGCAACATTTTTGAAATTTAACACCGACCGAGCTTCTGTCCTCATATCAGTTTCCTGTGCTGTCATTTCTTTCCTTTAGAAATGCAACAGTAGCCCGTCTCTTGCTTTGCCTCCTGACTGGTAGACTGTAATGCTATTACCTCTCCTCGATGGTCATGCTCACTTAACCCTCTGTCACTCTACACTGGCCAGGGAAGACACATGGGTCTGGCTGTGCGTGCACTGCCCTTGGGCCTCATTTGCAATTTCAGCTCTTCAGCTCGGCTTGCCACAAAAAGACTGAAGCACACAAACTTTTCAGTTCATTATCTCGCCTTTTAGGAGCATTTTCCCTTTTTTTGCATTCTCAGAAGCAAAGTATGACTGAAAATAACGGGTAATTGGATACATATGATCAGTCCTCAGCAAAATAGGCTGCCAGAGACTATTTAACCCCTTGTTGTCTGGATGTATAAAAGATTACCTCAGAAAAAAAAAGTATGTTTTTGGTGTTAAGAAAACGCGTAATTATAAATCACTTCATTGAATACAGGACTTTTAGAATAATGGCTTTCAGTATTATCAATGGCACATGTGGAGTGTGCACAAATCAGCTTCACTGGGATATATATAAATATACTCTCCACTGGATGCATTAAAACAAAGAGCAGCTAATGGTAAGGTCAAAATCAGTCTCCAAAGAGTAGTTAAGGCTCTTTGTTGTCTTTTTTCCTGTTTGAGACAATTGTTAGAAGAAACTTTGTAAGAAATCCATTAGGGTATTGGAAGCTAACAGGTTTGCCATTTAAAAATAAAACAGAAAAAATATATAGTATTCCTGCAGTATGGGACTATATTGGCCGATATGAAACAATAACATTATCATAAGAGATCGTTGTGTCTAACATAGCTGATAATATGTCTATGTAGGGTATCCATCGACTAGCAGTTAGCTTCCTTTCATTTTGAGGATCCCTTTATAGAAATAACTGGCTTTGACATTTATTCTCCAACAAAGCTGCTTTTATTCTACGCAAGGTCTTGATTGAGACATGAGTTGATAATAAAAGTCTTTATAAAGTACCAACAGTTAAAATGTAATGCAAGTTTCGATGGAGCTAAAACTACTTAGTCCAAAGCATGGACATTAAGGTGGAATATCTACACATAAATATATATTTGTGAAGAAAAAAAAATTAAATTAATTAAAACTACAAAAAAAGCTTTACACAAAAGTCGAGTAGTCCTGATCAAAAACACAATGACAATGAATTTGATTCACCATGAACGCACTTTTTTTCAGTATTTAACACTATGGTAAAACCAATTACATCAATTTACAGAAATATAAGTGGAAAATTAGAGTGGTTACTACAACAAAGTATTTACATACCTGCGCTTGAAACAACACAGAATTATCTAAAGTGTTGCTCAACATTTTTCAGCTGTAAAACGGAGGTGGTCAAATATCAATCACAATTTTCAATAATAACTCGTAGTCATTCAATGGCAGCACCTGCGCCTGTCAAGTTAACTCACCAGAGCGGCGACTTGAAAACTGAATTTATTTAATTTACAGTACGAGGTGAAAGATAAATACCAATTAGACTAAAAATGGGACCAGCACATAAGGGATGAAAACGGCATGCAAAAAATCAAGTTTTAGACCAGATGTATCCCTGCATTAATCAGGTGCTGTATGCTTGATAGATTTGAGCTAAATTATGTTGATATTTAGACTGTCAAACGGCTAAAAAAAAAAACACAATAAAGTGTACAAGATTGCCCACTTTTAAAATAAACGCCCTCCAGGGACACAAACATTTTCTAATTTACCTAAATAGCTAAAACCAGCTCATATAGAGGGGGTGTATTTAAGACTTAATGGCGTTCAGATCCTTTTATTAAATAACATATTTTACAAACCTTCAGCCTTAACATAGCTTAATTAATGACCAAATTAACCCCTTAGGGTATCATCAATTGCTAAAGAGTAATTAACAGCAAGTTTCATCTAAGTACCATGAACAAAGGGAACATCTAAAGCATGCATGACACCAGCTCTCACTAACTGCAGCTGGACATCCCAGCACCAGCTATTATCCATCCAATGCATTTAATGATTTTCTTTTCCTAACACAAGTAAAAGAAATAATACTACAAAACCAAAAACCACAAGCAAAAAAAAGAAAAAAAAAAGAAAAACAGGAGTTAAATAGATTAATTGCTTGGCATCTAATTATAGGCTAAATCCAGAGAGACAGACAGAGAGAGAGAGAGAGAGAGAGAAAGAGGCAGTCTACTAGTGACACTATAGCCTATGATCAATCAGCAGTCAAATTTGGCATCAAAGCCTGTCAGATAAGAGCTGAAATATAAGCAAACTAGGTGAGTCACACAGCCCACCCACAGTCTGCATCACCTGAGTTTAGATTTGTTTTCTACAGACCACAAAGATCAAACAAACTTTCCCTTACAACAGCAATTCCAGACAATTTTTAGGTTGTCTGTGTAAAGCCATGAAGGAGGCAAATAGGCCAATGCTTGCAACTAATTACGCGCAATCAATTAGGACCAGATGCATTAAAAGAAAATACAAAAATAAACACTCTGTTCCAAAGAAACGCACAGCAGCCCACATCTTTGGTGCAAATATATAAAAGAAAAAAAGTAGCTGTTACTTACGATGCACCCTGGCAGGAGAACATAAAGCCCCAGTGACTGAAATTAGAACAGAACGCACAAAGTGCGCGTTTTTATTTTAAAATTCATTTCCCCCCCTTGTTTTTGTTAAAAAGAGTTTTATAAATGTACTTACCAGAGTCGCCTGGACACATTCCTTGGGAAATTCCAGAGGAGTCTCTTCTCTCTTCTCTCTCAAAGTCAGAAAAACAGCAATGCTTATGTTCTAATTCCAAAAAAAGGGCCCCCCGACTTCACTGAAAGAGAGATAACAGCAAAAGAGCCCACAAGAAATTCCGTTAGAAACGAGAGTCCAACCCATCCCCTCATTTCCCACCCCGAAAAGTGTTGACATTACAGCTGTGATGGAGGGAAGAAGGAAAAAAAAAAAACGCATGAGAAATTGGCGGAACAGACAAATAGGTGTACCTGCTCTCTTTATCACTGTCGCCAAAAAACAATAAGAGCAGCAAAAAAAGACGGAAAACTGAGAGAGAGCTGAGCTTATTTAGTTTTGTTCATTTTTTTTTCTTTTTTCCGATGGAACCGCAGCAGCCAGCATGCTGTCACATCCCGAGCTGCACACACTCATAGAGACGCGGATGCTGCTGGAGGATGAAAGGGAGAGGAGAGGAGCCGCGGGATGCTGCTGCGCTCTGAGATGCACTACCCTAACCAGCCGCTAGATGGCCAGGCTGATGGAGACGGCTGTTTCCCACCAAAACAAATGCTATATTTTAGAAGATGCTTAATTAGCCTACATATTTATAACTGTATATAAATGTATTCTGCGACCGGGATCAATGGCATATTCCTTCTCAATTTACTGTATCAGGCAGAGGCGTAGCAAAAAATGTTTATTATGGGGCCAGGCAATAACCAATGTACTGTACACTGAGGAGTGCCATCAGAACCTCAGGGTCAATCTACATTCTTCCAACAGGAAAATTAACGAGCAAAACAAAATAAAGTTTTATATATCTAAACATGTTTACAGATTTTAAATGGCCGTTGCAACATCTATCAGCTTAACTGAAAGTGTATTCATGATATCTGAAAAACTTTTTTTTTTTCATAGTTAAAATTATAGAAATGCTGACCAGTAATATTAGGAGTATGGAGATCTGAAATTAATTTCTAGTCATCCAGAATGTTTATTCTAGATTTTTTGAAATGGTCATTTAGACACAGAAATCTTTTTTTTTTTTTTTTCCAGATATCAGGAATACATGTTCAGAAAATATTAGTACATATCAAAATGGCTTGCTAGTTTGTTGTTACCGTGAAAATATTACAGGACTATTTCTTGAATATTAGTGGATCAATGTATCTATTAAGGTGAAATCTTCTAGCAGCAGGTGAAAATGAAGTCTAAAAACTTCCTAATATATAGAACCTGTGGATCATCTCATGCATCCCTCCCCCTGATGATTCAGTCTTCTTTTACAAAGTGTCTGTTTGCAGACAAATTGGCATTATAAGTGGCTTTCAGTCCCATAGAATGGTTTCAGATTGTGCCAATAGATGTGCCATCGAGTGAATCCAAATCCTAACCGTAAAGTAATTCTGTTGACATCTGTGTCCCTAATTGATCCTGTTATCCACTTNGCAGCAGCTCATTCACAAAAATGATCGCATGCAGGCCAAACGAATTCTCATGTCTCTGTGTCGTATATTGCCTCTGTCTTATACCGGCTGACCAGCTCTTGTGGCGATGGCTGCGCCAACAAATTCCTTTTCCCTCGCAGAATTAAGAAATCTATTTACGTGTAATCTGAAAATAATTTCACCAGTTCTTCATGTACTGCAAGTATAATTAAATAAAAATAAAATGATCTGCATCTTGCTCATATAAAAAGAAACCAAAAACAAGTAATGTCATGCCTTATCAACTGAGTTGTTGTGCTGATCATTCTTTAATAAGGTCCTTGTCAAACGAATATGCAATGCTTGTTTATAAAACCTAATGTGCCAAGTAAATGATATATAGTGGGTCAATAAAAGTACTACAAAAATCGGACTAAATGACTGAAAAGTCAGAGTTTCCCTGTTTTCAGGTTTAGAGAACTTGGAGATTTTGGTAGATCTGCTTCTTGAAAAGGACCCGTAGTGAGTCAGCTTTCTGTCACAGAGAGGATCTTTGCTGGTGGCTGGGCGGACCCATGTTCTCAGGTGCTGCACACCTGAGAACATTTCTCAATCAAGATAACTGTCTCTCTTTGCTGGAGGATTAACTGTGATGGTATTCCAGTCAAATCCCCAATTGTGAATATTGTTCTTGTTTAAATATGTCTTCTTTTGAATTGTTTTTTAATGCGAATTGTGTTATTGTTCCAGACAACCAGTAAACCTGTTTGTCCCCAATCTTCTTAGAAAAGGTCTCACCTGTTTGAAGGAGTTTTTAGTCTTCATCACCTGCCTGCCCGCTCTCCAGCACAATATCTCTTGAAAGTACCAACACTCTCGGGTCTCCCCCATATTCTCCTGGAGCTCTGGGGCAGATTCTGCAAAGCCCATTGAATCAAACCCCTACAGATCCATGCTACCACCCCTTCATCCCTCAAGTAAGCAAATCAATCAGTCATCAATTGTAATCAACTAACTCCTCCCTTATCAGTCTTTTTTCTCCCCTCAGACCAACCAGAAAGTTCAACTGACTTCCTGCAGTTCTTCGCTTCCAGATTCCTGTTGCTTTTTGTAAATAAAATGTTAGAATTCACAGGTTTTCCATATGATTCTGCATGACAGACAAAAAAATACAAACCATTATGAGAAAAAATGAAACAACATCACCTTTTTGTCAAAACTGATTAAGTAATAATCAGCCATGTTAAAGTTGATATTTAACTTAAGCAACTCAAGCACCAATTGTGAAGAAGCATTAAGCACGTCTGTCTTGGTTGATTATTGGTTGGTTAATACCAGATGCAAAGACAAAGCAGTTGGTGCAGTGTAAAATCCAACAGCTGTCCATTCTTAACATATTTAGGCTAACTTTACTAGGTTATCAACAGTGTGAATCTCAACAGTTATTTGCAGTGTGAAAAAATACTCAGCATTTAAAGTAAAGAGTACTTTTAATTAGCAACAATAAGTCACTCCCACTGTGGGAGTGTTCAAGGAAAAGCAAGTGATATCTGCATGCTCAGTTCAATTTCTCCCACTCAGTAGTCTTACCAATCCACCACACAGGCAGGTACCATGAGAGTAAACTGCTGACTCAACATTTGCACTCTTTATTCTTTTTTGGTATGTTCACACTGTAGCCTGAAGTGACCCAAATCCAATTTTTTTGCCCACATGCGACCTGGATCTGATCTTTTCATGTCTGTCTGAACAACAAAGATCCGATTTTTTCCAGTCCAACCCAGGCCACTTGGTTATGTGGTCCTGAATCCAATACGAATCTGATCTTTTCAAATACATCCTGTGTCTGAACGGCCAGGTCACATTCATCCGACCTGAACGCCATTGGTAACCGACATAGGTCACTATTCTGCTTCTTGCTACACAGAAGGAAGGAGCAAACACCATGGCGAATAATGATGCGGAGAGCGAAATATGAACGGCAACGCATAAAAATCGGATTTCACAAAAAAATCGGAATTGTGCATCGAGGCCTGCAGTGTGAACGTAGCTTTAGATAGGTGCATAAGTATGTCTGTTCTTTTTTTTTTATTTCTGCTACAGCTGTTATGCTAATTTTAGCCATCTTGCTAACAAACCAAACAGGCATAACATTACTCTATTCAGGAAGTCCATTTTTGGTGGTTTACCAGCATAATCCTGTGATAAATTTTCCTCAAGTACTTAAAACAAAAACATTCAGCACTGATATTTTAAAAAGAAATATTGGAACATAACCTGAATATTAGACACTGAATGTAAAAAGATAGGAATACAATTTTCATCGTCACATTTCTGTTAATTTGCACACTTTCATCCCATTTGATGCTTTTTTCCTAACATTAAGTGGCAAATGTTGGATCTAAATATATATATATATATATATATATAGATACTGTATATATATATATTTTGTGTCTTTTTTGGGGCTTATCTTGGGCCAGAGACCACATCATGGAAGGACACCTCTTCCTCTTCTCGTAGTGTTTTATGGCAGTTGGCAAACTAGTTAAAGTGCATTACTGCCAACAACTGATAAGGAGTTAAAGGAGGAAACAGGAAACCAGACTCACCCTCAGATAAATAAGAAAATAAAAGTTTTTCAAACTGTATGTTTTAGCCCAACATTAAGAAATACATAATAAAATTCATCCTCATGATTACCAATTTGTCTTTATGCTAATGTCTCTCCAGGTTCTTATGGTCCTGCTCATTTCCCCATCATACTTTAAATTGTTTCTGAGCTTAAATCTCTCACTTCAAGGTACTTTTCTGCAGCTTTCACTATTGTTTTGATTTTTTCGGTTTTCTGTCATCTGAGCACTGCAATTGATCACTTCTACAGTACCATAAAAAATACAAAATATTTCTTTTTAACTATCATTGAGTCTTCTCCAATTTTGAGGAACTCCAGACGTTTGATCTTTTCTTACAAATTTGGGCCACTGTTGATGTGGTATATTTCTAACTGGGATGGAATTCTTTTTGCAGCCAAAGCATAACTTATTCCAAGCTCCACTTTCACTTTTCTTATCTCTTCAGATCTTTTGCTCACTTCACAACCTCAATATGCAGCAGTATGTTCTCCACCACAGTTACAGCATTTTATTTTAACTTTCTTACCACACTTTTCATATTCGTGCTTTCCCACACCCCTTCCACATCTTTGTTTGCCCTTACATACTGCTTCTATGTGACCAAATTTCTGGCATTAAAACATCTCAGAAGGGGAAGATTGTACGTTTTGAAATTGTAGCTCATATATCCAAGGAAAACTTTACTCGGTAACTGCTCTTCTTCAAATTTGATCTGTACTGATAAGCTTTCACACCTTTCTCAATTTTTTTGTTGTTTTTAACTGTTTCGCATCTATTACTTTTGCACTTATTTTTCCAAGAATTTCTTTGTCAGTTACTTTTATAAGTACTGCTCCAATGACTCCCCTGCTTATTCTTTTGTTCTCCACCAAGCTGCACTGAATTCTTCTCCCCTGAAGCTTATTAATCCATGCTTTGCCTTCTTCAGGACTGTCTCTGCAGTTTATTAACAGGTCTCCACTATACAGGATTTATGCACTTCTGACTTATCCTACAAGTTTATCGTTTTTGTTAACTGCACTGGATTCCAATTTGCCAAATCTCTCTGATTAACTAGTTTGAATATGACTTTATATTCATTTTGTTTTCCTGTGGAATTTGTAGATTGTTAACAAATTGACTGTTCTGTGCTAGACTCCCCTTCAGTTGGTCTTTGGTTTTTCCACTTTTCCTCATTTTTTGACTCTATTCCAGTCTTGTTTGTTTTCACTATTCCTTCTTCCATCCCACAAGAATCGCTTCCTGTTTCCTCGCTGCTCACGAGCCAGGGCATTTCTCCACAAGCGACTTAGAAACACGCGTTCTTTCACTCCTCTCTTTTCCATCGAAGGACACATGCTAAGGACTAGGATCTAAAGACATTAAGGCCTAA